GATATATCAGGGTAATTGAGTGTCTAATCCACGACCCTTCTTCAAACAGTTACAAGATAAAAAATTGGTTAGTTAACTATTTCATACTTGCTTCAGGAATAAGTCAGACCTACCTTAGGAGACGGTCCAAAAAACTGCGTACTGAGATTAGTATGATCAAACAACACGTTTTCTTTTTCGCTGATATACTGACTCAACAAAGGAGAAACTTCGTCACCAAAAAGTGACTGGTTGTCTTTCCAAATTTGTCTTTTTACTTCCGTGTCGGTATCTAAATACAATTCTTTGTCTCTCACTAAAACTTTTAAGTAACTATCTTCTATTTGAGAAATGTTTTTTAAAATTGTCATTACTATAGGCCTCATAGCTTTTACTCTAATAACTGGAAAACTTTTTACAAGAAGTTCTCTTAATTTTTGGTCGCGTTCTTTGCCTTCTTGTTTTCCAATATCGTTTATGTGGCTAATGAGTTTTTCTCTTAATTCCTATAATGAAAAATATCAAGCTAAATACCTTTAGTGTAGTTTAAAGGAGAGGAATTCAAAATCACCTCCAATTTAGGGTATTTAATATATACAGTTATATACAGACGCATGAACTTACGTGGCCATTATAAGACCTATGCAGTTGTCTGGGTACTAAAAACCTAAAAATTTACAGCTATCCACACATTCAAATAAACAGCATGTCTCAACATAACAGGAGCTATAAAAACCACACTAACCAGAGGCATGGAAGTCATTTTTAATATCACTTTCTTTGATATTTACATCAAAGAGGTTGCTCACGCCTCCTCATGGTTGGAATAGAACCTGGTGAGGCCAGACGTCGCTCAATACGTTCCCACTGCTTCAAGCGAACATGGAGCCCATCTCACCGAGATTATATATATATATATATATATATATATATATATATATATATATATATATATATATATATATATATATAAAAAGACTTTAGAAATTCTAATCACAGAAATGTCGGTAGATTGGACGAGAAGGCCTAATTTACTAGCTAAGACAGTGCTGTGCAATTATGAGCAACTCCAAAGTTGTCATGAACCTGAACAACCACCGTGGACTATCCTAGGAAGTTTTTTAGAACATTTGCATTTAGGTCGTTAAATAGTTGGTGATTTTAAATTAGAAATATCGAAATTTTGATTAATAATTGATGTGCTAGATGTATCACTGCTAATTTTTTTTCTAAAAATGTTTTGGCTTTTGTAATCGATAAATAAAATGAATATTTAAATGAGATACGGTACTGAACTTCATTATTATCAATCTCATGCAGAGAATAGTCTATGTCCAGTTGAATATTCTCAAAATCATTGACACAGTGTATTCTGGGGTGTAATTCGGCTAATAATGTGACTGAAGCGTCCTGACTATTATTATCTTCGAAAGAGATACGGTACTGAATTTCATCATTATCGATCTAAAGCTGAGAATAGTCTATGTCCTTTTGAATATTCTCAAAATCATTGACACGGTATATTTTGGGGTGTAATTTGGATAATAATGTGACTGAAGCGTCCTGACTATTATTATCTTCGAAAGAGATACGGTACTGAATTTCATCATTATCGATCTAAAGCTGAGAATAGTCTATGTCCTTTTGAATATTCTCAAAATCATTGACACAGTGTATTCTAGGGTGTAATTCGGCTAATAATATGACTGAAGCGTCCTGACTATTATTATCTTCGAAAGAGATACGGTACTGAATTTCATCATTATCGATCTAAAGCTGAGAATAGTCTATGTCCTTTTGAATATTCTCAAAATCATTGACACAGTGTATTCTGGGGTGTAATTCGGCTAATAATGTGACTGAAGCGTCCTGACTATTATTATCTTCGAAAGAGATACGGTACTGAATTTCATCATTATCGATCTAAAGCTGAGAATAGTCTATGTCCTTTTGAATATTCTCAAAATCATTGACACGGTATATTTTGGGGTGTAATTTGGATAATAATGTTACTGAAGCGTCCTGACTATTATTATCATATCCGTCGTTCATTTTATCAATGTATTTTTGGAAAATAGAAAAGCTCTTAATTTGCGTAATTATTATTATTAAGAACAATTTATATTTAAAATAAATAATATATAAATATAAATACATAAAGTTTAATTTATTTTTCAAATGTTCGATCAGAATATCTATTTAAAATAATAAATCAAATTTGTAAAACTAAATGCAAATATAATAAAATAGCAAGCAGTTTTCTTCAAATATCTCGAATACGGCCCATTTTACAGAAATAATGTATAGAGCAAGAATTATAGAGAATAACATTATAAACAACTTTTATTTGAAGAATATTCTTCTCCACACGTAAATAACAGATATATTCTATAAAATAGAAAAACGACCCCCCATAAAGTACACCCCAGATGTTCTGACTATGCCCAAAATTTAATCAGCTCACCGCAGGTCGTAATAAAGCTTAAGATTGAAATCGACCAAATATTTGTTTGGGCAAAATTATTTTTTGGCCATTTGTTTGGTCAAGTTTTTTTGCACAAATTTTTTTTTTACAATTTTTTTTGCACAATTTTTTTTATAATTTTTTTGGCCATTTTTTTGACAAAATTTTTCTGGGACCAAAGTTTTTTGGGCAATTTTTGTTATCAAATTTGTTTGGTTAAAATTTTTTTTGAGCAAAATTATTTTTCGCAACTTTTTTGACATTTCTTTTTGGGCCGAATATTTCTAGTATCAAATTTTATTTGGGCAAAATTATTTTTTAATTTTTTTTTGCACAATTTTTTTATTTTTTTTTGCACAATTTTTTTATTTTTTTTTGCACAATTTTTTTGGCCATTTTTTTGACAATTTTTTTTTTGGACCAAAATTTTTTGGACATTTTTTTACATTTTTTTTTTGGGCACATTTATTTTTTGGCCTTTTTTTTTGGACAAAATTATTTGGCAATTTTTTTTTACCCAATTTTTTTTACAATTTTTTTGGGTAAAATCATTTTTTTTACAATTTTTTGGTCAATTTTTTTTTATAATTTTTTGAGCCATTTTTTTTTTGACAAAATTTTTCTGGGACCAAATTTTTTTTGGGCAATTTTCTTCAAAATTCGAAATTTACACTTTTTCTCAAATATCTCGAATACGGTCCATTTTAGAGAAATTATGTGTGGGACAAAAATTACAGAGAATGACACAACAAACAACTTTTATTTGAACAACTTTCTTAAAAATTCAAATTTTGCACTTTTTCTCAAATTTCTCGAATACGGACCATTTTAGGAAAATTTTGTATAAAACAAATATTATAGAGAATAATATTACAAGCAACTTTTATTTGAAGAATTTCCTTCTTCAAGCATAAATAACAGATATATTGCATAAAGTAGAAAAACAACCTCCTATAAAATACCCTCAGATGTTCCGATTTAAAATTTGGTCTTTTCTTTTGTAATCTTTCAAGAATTATCCAGCATATACACCCACATGCACAAACATCATCGCAAAAATAGTCAAAACGTATTTATGACACCCCTAAACATAAAAATTAGTCAAAAAATCGAAGTCGAAAAAAATCATGATTCCTATACTTTTATTAAAAATATTAATATGAATATTTTTCAAAAAATACAAATCAAAAACTCATCAAGGACATTAGAATCTTCAAATTTACAATTTATCAAATAATAAAATATTAGAAATCACATAACCATTACATGACATTTTTATTATTATAAATAATAATAATTCTCTAATTAAAAAGGGTATTTAAACCTGCTCGTTGCTAGAGTATTAGTATACATAAAAACTATTTTTTTATAGTACTGATCCTACAGATTTTATTAATTATTTACCAAAATATACCTTATTATTAACTATTTACCTCTACAACTGACATGTGGAAATCCAATCTTCTAACTCCATGCAAATCTAGTAACGGTAACATAGGTCTGAGAGATGGCAAAAGAATTCCATTAGTTACCTGTAAATAAAAGAAAAACTTTGTAAGATTCAGTCATTTAATTGTATACAATAGCCAACTAATTATATTCCCTCAAAGCATAGCAGCTGAGCTAAAAGATTTAGAATAAGCTCAAAGTGACTATTTATGAGATTAGTGACTCTCAAAGCATTATAAGTTCAGATTGTTACTAAGATATTTATTTAGAAAATGCTCAGTGACTATTATGAACTTTCAAAGAGCTTTGGCCATTATATTATAAGTTAAGATTCATACTAAGATATTTAGAAAGTGCTCCAAGTGACTATTGTAAGATTAGTGACTCTCAAAGGCATTATAAGTTCAGATTGTTACTAAGATATTTATTTGGAAATATGCACAGTGACTATTATGAACTTTCAAAGACCTTTGACCATTATATTATAAGTTAAGATTCATACTAAGATATTTAGAAAATGCTCCAAGTGACTATTGTAAGATTAGTGACTCTCAAAGACCATCGAGCATTATAAGTTCAGATTGTTACTAAGATATTTATTTAGAAAATGTTCAGTGACTATTATAAACTTTCAAAGACCTTTGACCATTATTTTATAAGTTAAGATTCATACTAAGATATTTAGAAAGTGCTCCAAGTGACTATTGTAAGATTAGTGACTCTCAAAGACCATACAGCATTATAAGTTCAGATTGTTACTAAGACATTTATTTAGAAAATGCTCAGTGAGTATTATGAACTTTCAAAGACCTTTGACCATTATATTATAAGTTCAGATTCATACTAAGATATTTAGAAAATGCTCCAAGTGACTATTGTAAGATTAGTGACTCTCAAAGGCATTATAAGTTCAGATTGTTACTAAGATATTTATTTAGAAAATACTCAGTGACTATTATGAACTTTCAAAGACCTTTGACCATTATATTATAAGTTAAGATTCATACTAAGATATTTAGAAAGTGCTCCAAGTGACTATTGTAAGATTAGTGACTCTCAAAGGCATTATAAGTTCAGATTGTTACTAAGATATTTATTTAGAAAATGCTCAGTGACTATTATAAACTTTCAAAGACCTCTGACCATTATATTATAAGTTCAGATTCATACTAAGATATTTAGAAAATGCTCCAAGTGACTATTGTAAGATTAGTGACTCTCACAAACCATCGAGCATTATAAGTTGAGATTGTAACTAAGATATTTATTTAGAAAATGCTCAGTGACTATTATGAACTTTCAAAGACCTTTGACCATTATATTATAAGTTAAGATTCATACTAAGATATTTAGAAAGTGCTCCAAGTGACTATTGTAAGATTAGTAACTCTCAAAGGCATTATAAGTTCAGATTGTTACTAAGATATTTATTTAGAAAATGCTCAGTAACTATTATAAACTTTCAAAGACCTCTGACCATTATATTATAAGTTCAGATTCATACTAAGATATTTAGAAAATGCTCCAAGTGACTATTGTAAGATTAGTGACTCTCACAAACCATCGAGCATTATAAGTTGAGATTGTAACTAAGATATTTATTTAGAAAATGCTCAGTGACTATTATGAACTTTCAAAGACCTTTGACCATTATATTATAAGTTAAGATTCATACTAAGATATTTAGAAAGTGCTCCAAGTGACTATTGTAAGATTAGTGACTCTCAAAGGCATTATAAGTTCAGATTGTTACTAAGGTATTTATTTAGAAAATGCTCAGTGACTATTATAAACTTTCAAAGACCTTTAACCATTATATTATAAGTTCAGATTCATATTAAGATATTTAGAAAACGCTCCAAGTGACTATTGTAAGATTAGTGACTCTCAAAGACCATCGATCATTATAAGTTCAAATTGTTACTAAGATATTTATTTAGAAAATGCTCAGTGACTATTATGAACTTTCAAAGACCTCTGACCATTATATTATAAGTTCAGATTCATATTAAGATATTTAGAAAACGCTCCAAGTGACTATTGTAATATTAGTGACTCTTAAAGACTATTGAGCATTATAAGTTCAGATTGTCACTAAGATATTTATTTAGAAAATGTTCAAAGTGACTATTATGAACTTTCAAAGACCTTTGACCATTATATTATAAGTTCAGATTCATATTAAGATATTTAGAAAATGCTCCAAGTGACTATTGTAAGATTAGTGACTCTCAAAGACCATCGAGCATTATAAGTTCAGATTCTTACTAAGATATTTATTTAGAAAATGCTCAGTGACTATTATGAACTTTCAAAGACCTTTGACCATTATATTATAAGTTCAGATTCATATTAAGATATTTAGAAAATGCTCCAAGTGACTATTGTAAGATTAGTGACTCTCAAAGGCATTATAAGTTCAGATTGTTACTAAGGTATTTATTTAGAAAATGCTCAGTGACTATTATGAACTTTCAAAGACCTTTGACCATTATTTTATAAGTTAAGATTCATACTAAGATATTTAGAAAGTGCTCCAAGTGACTATTGTAAGATTAGTGACTCTCAAAGGCATTATAAGTTCAGATTGTTACTAAGGTATTTATTTAGAAAATGCTCAGTGACTATTATGAACTTTCAAAGACCTTTGACCATTATAATATAAATTTAGATTCATACTAAGATATTTAGAAAGTGCTCCAAGTGACTATTGTAAGATTAGTGACTCTCAAAGACCATCGAGCATTATAAGTTCAGATTGTTACTAAGATATTTATTTAGAAAATGTTCAGTGACTATTATAAACTTTCAAAGACCTTTGACCATTATTTTATAAGTTAAGATTCATACTAAGATATTTAGAAAGTGCTCCAAGTGACTATTGTAAGATTAGTGACTCTCAAAGACCATACAGCATTATAAGTTCAGATTGTTACTAAGATATTTATTTAGAAAATGTTCAGTGACTATTATAAACTTTCAAAGACCTTTGACCATTATTTTATAAGTTAAGATTCATACTAAGATATTTAGAAAGTGCTCCAAGTGACTATTGTAAGATTAGTGACTCTCAAAGACCATACAGCATTATAAGTTCAGATTGTTACTAAGACATTTATTTAGAAAATGCTCAGTGAGTATTATGAACTTTCAAAGACCTTTGACCATTATATTATAAGTTCAGATTCATACTAAGATATTTAGAAAATGCTCCAAGTGACTATTGTAAGATTAGTGACTCTCAAAGGCATTATAAGTTCAGATTGTTACTAAGATATTTATTTAGAAAATACTCAGTGACTATTATGAACTTTCAAAGACCTTTGACCATTATATTATAAGTTAAGATTCATACTAAGATATTTAGAAAGTGCTCCAAGTGACTATTGTAAGATTAGTGACTCTCAAAGGCATTATAAGTTCAGATTGTTACTAAGATATTTATTTAGAAAATGCTCAGTAACTATTATAAACTTTCAAAGACCTCTGACCATTATATTATAAGTTCAGATTCATACTAAGATATTTAGAAAATGCTCCAAGTGACTATTGTAAGATTAGTGACTCTCACAAACCATCGAGCATTATAAGTTGAGATTGTAACTAAGATATTTATTTAGAAAATGCTCAGTGACTATTATGAACTTTCAAAGACCTTTGACCATTATATTATAAGTTAAGATTCATACTAAGATATTTAGAAAGTGCTCCAAGTGACTATTGTAAGATTAGTGACTCTCAAAGGCATTATAAGTTCAGATTGTTACTAAGGTATTTATTTAGAAAATGCTCAGTGACTATTATAAACTTTCAAAGACCTTTAACCATTATATTATAAGTTCAGATTCATATTAAGATATTTAGAAAACGCTCCAAGTGACTATTGTAAGATTAGTGACTCTCAAAGACCATCGATCATTATAAGTTCAGATTGTTACTAAGATATTTATTTAGAAAATGCTCAGTGACTATTATGAACTTTCAAAGACCTCTGACCATTATATTATAAGTTCAGATTCATATTAAGATATTTAGAAAACGCTCCAAGTGACTATTGTAATATTAGTGACTCTTAAAGACTATTGAGCATTATAAGTTCAGATTGTCACTAAGATATTTATTTAGAAAATGTTCAAAGTGACTATTATGAACTTTCAAAGACCTTTGACCATTATATTATAAGTTCAGATTCATATTAAGATATTTAGAAAATGCTCCAAGTGACTATTGTAAGATTAGTGACTCTCAAAGACCATCGAGCATTATAAGTTCAGATTCTTACTAAGATATTTATTTAGAAAATGCTCAGTGACTATTATGAACTTTCAAAGACCTTTGACCATTATATTATAAGTTCAGATTCATATTAAGATATTTAGAAAATGCTCCAAGTGACTATTGTAAGATTAGTGACTCTCAAAGGCATTATAAGTTCAGATTGTTACTAAGGTATTTATTTAGAAAATGCTCAGTGACTATTATGAACTTTCAAAGACCTTTGACCATTATTTTATAAGTTAAGATTCATACTAAGATATTTAGAAAGTGCTCCAAGTGACTATTGTAAGATTAGTGACTCTCAAAGGCATTATAAGTTCAGATTGTTACTAAGGTATTTATTTAGAAAATGCTCAGTGACTATTATGAACTTTCAAAGACCTTTGACCATTATAATATAAATTTAGATTCATACTAAGATATTTAGAAAGTGCTCCAAGTGACTATTGTAAGATTAGTGACTCTCAAAGACCATCGAGCATTATAAGTTCAGATTGTTACTAAGATATTTATTTAGAAAATGTTCAGTGACTATTATAAACTTTCAAAGACCTTTGACCATTATTTTATAAGTTAAGATTCATACTAAGATATTTAGAAAGTGCTCCAAGTGACTATTGTAAGATTAGTGACTCTCAAAGACCATACAGCATTATAAGTTCAGATTGTTACTAAGATATTTATTTAGAAAATGTTCAGTGACTATTATAAACTTTCAAAGACCTTTGACCATTATTTTATAAGTTAAGATTCATACTAAGATATTTAGAAAGTGCTCCAAGTGACTATTGTAAGATTAGTGACT